GAAGGCAGGCCTGCCTAGCTTTATAGGCGGAAGAGACAGGATTGGGTGACTCACCTCTGTATTCCCTAGGGGGCTGCACAAGATTGGGGTGACTCACCTCTGTATTCCCTAGGGCACTGCACACAGCTCTTTGGACTTAACAGGTGCTGGATACATTTTCGGTGAATGAGTGATCCTCAACCAAAAAACAATCTCATGGCTTCCATATTCATGTGAGAGCACTGTGCACTTCCTATGGCAACAAGTCATATACAACACCCTGCAGAAATTGCTTTCATAAACACTGCACCATCAGCATGACAAATTGGTGCCTGCAGTCCAGCTACCAAACTCACTCAGAAGAGTTTTCATTTTCTTTCATAAAAATTACAAGATAAAGTGCTTTTCAAAAACAGACTGGTAATTCCATCTTACAAGGAACTACTTAAATGCAAAAATATTCTTTCCTTTCTACTTAAAAGATACTATCGCTGAGAATCATCACAGCCTGGTGACGAGTGAAAAGGCCAATGTTCATTCAATAGCTCCTGACCTACTAAGAACATGTGAAGATAGTGGCTCCTTTCACTGTGGCTGCAGCTGCTTATTACCACGCCTGGGCTAGCACTCTCTCTGTCCTTTGGACGTTGGCCAGTGGGCAGTTTTGCCTTGTATGACACCCCCTGCTCAGGCCGGCCTATTTCTGGGAGGGTTCTGGGGCCTTCAGGCTGGGAGCGGGGCTCAGTGTCGAAGTCAGGCCTTGGTGTGTCATGGGGACGTCCCTGCAGTCCCTGCAGGTGGGTGCCCCTCTGGTTCACTGGGATGACACTACCTGACAGCTCCTGCCACGTCGTCTCTCATATGCCGAGCCCAGAGAACAGGACTTCAGAGCTGGTGACCCTGTTGGGGCCCCAACCCGTGCTGCTGGAGAGCCTGTTCCCTCTAAGGTCTACAAGGGCCCAGAACTGACGAGCATGAAACAGCCCAAGGAGACAAATACAACCTCTCGCTACTGGGCAAGGTGGAAGGAGCCCTGGGTTAACAGCCTTTACTTTGATATGAGACTCACCATTCCAAGCACTGACCAACAGATTTCCCAAGGGCATACTAGCCTCCTCCTAGTATAGGTAACACCTGGTACAGTACCTTAAATAATAGTAGGTTAATATCAATGTTTTTCTTTTAAATTGTGGCAAAAAAACGCATAACGTGAAATTATTGCCATAACCACTTCTAAGTGTACGGTGCAGTGGCATTAAGTACATTCACATTGTTGTACAGCCATCCCCACCATCCATCCAACAGAATTCTTTTTTTCATCATCGCAAACTGAAACTCTGTACCCACTAAACAATAACTCCCCATTGCCCCCTCCCCAGAGTCCCTAGCAACCACCATTCTACTTTCTGCCTCTAGGAGTCTGACTACTTTAGATGCCTCATACTAAGTGGAATCATACAGTATTCATCTTTTTGTGACTTGGCTTGTTTTACCTCAAGGTGCATCCATATTGTAGCATGTGTCAGAATTTCCTTCCTTTTTAAGCCTGAATAATATTGCCTTGTATGGATATGCCCAATTTTGTTTATTTATTCATCTGTTGATGGGCACTTGGGTTGCTTCTACCTCTTGGCTATCGTGAATAATGCTGCTATGAACATGAACACACAAATATCTCTTTGAGATCCTACTTTCAATTATTTGGGATATATGTACCTAGAAGTGAAATTACTGGATCATATGGTAATTCTATTTTAATCTTTTGAGGAACAATTATTATTTTTAAAATTTTATTATTGATCAATGTACCACTGGGTGGTGCACTTAAATTAAAAATAGCTCTTAGCTCTACACTGCCAGTGAAAGCTTTTGGTGGGGACAAGGGCTCTTTCCAGATGTTCAGCCTTCAGGAGTGAATATTCCCCCAATATAACTTAGGAGAGTTGTATAAAATATGTGTTTCAAGAAGTCACATTTGTTAATTCTGGAGCATTGTATGCATAATCTTCACCCCAAAATATGAAAGCCACCACAAATGTAGGTAAATTAATATGCTTTGAATACTTAGTCTCAGCACTTAGAGAATATGCATTTACATCTGAGATCTAAAAGTACTGGGGAAAAATTTTACGAGAAGAATGTTGAGTTAAAAAACATATGTATTTATTATATTTACATGAAAATTATATTTACACAAAAACAACGACAAAGACACAAAGAATTCTCTAGAATCTCGTCAATACTGGGTCATTTATGGTAACTGAAAAGGAGTTATTCATATATTTTGCAATGTTTTAGTGTTTCTTTATAAAATAGTTTAAACTACTAATCCCAAAAAGAACAGGCAGTTTCATCAAAAAATAAATTAGAATAGCACTAAAACTAACCCCATCACCTGAACCCGTTCAGAAGGAAACATTAAGCTGAGCATCCAGAGTCTTTTACCATTCTAGGAAAAACAACATTGTCTAATAAAATTTTCAGGAATGGACCAGGAGGGTGAAGAACAGGAAAATGCCGAAATATATGAGACAGTTTTATAAACCACCTTGATGAGCCTGGAAATGTGATATTCAAGTAGATGCTGATTCCTGCTGTGTATCTGTTATGTTCACTCATGAAGAGTGTTTTGGTTGTTATTTATAATCAATATCAGGAGCTTAGGGGCCCAAAAAGGGCACCATTAACTGTCTCAGAAAAACAGAACTCTGAGAAGTAGACTTGTCTCATCACATAAAAATGCATCTTTGTGGTCTTTTTTCCCCAAATTCTGCGTCAGCACAGGAATCACCTATCATATTGGTCACACAGAGCTAGACTAAAAGGAGCTCTTTTCATATTATAATAACCTAGGACCATAAATATTATAACTCTGATAATGCTTAGATAATCAAAACAAAATATAACACGTAATACAACTATCAGAAACATCACTGAGAACCCCTTCTTCTTAGTTCCCAGGCCTCCATTAAATAATTTATCAGGCTAAATGGCAATTATCATGTCTGCTCCCTCTAAGTAGGAGACCTGGAGGACAATGACCATATTTCTCTCTGTATCCCTTGAGTGCAGCATGCTGCCTTTTCTACAGAAGTGTTCAATAAATAAGCAGCCTCCATGACGGAAGAAAATGTGGGACGGCAGAGAAGCAGGTTTAATTCCAGTTTTCCTTACATGGAGAAAGAGCTCCATGGGGCCTCAGCTTTTTTGGAGGAAGGATAAAATAGCGATTAATTTTAGACTTTGTTAAATTAAGTATGCATGTTGTAACTTCTAGTGTAACCATACACAAAATTAAGAAACAGTATCTAAAATCCAAACTAACAGATAGGGAAAATTGAAATAAGAAAAAAAAAAAAAATCAAGAATCAAAAAGAAGGCTAGGAAAAAAGCAAAAAAGAAAAACTGAAACAGGTAGGTACATAAAATTCCAAATATCCCATAGATAACAATAAACGTGAATGGACTGCATGTTCCACGTTAAGCGAGTGACAGATTAAAACAATTTTAACAATAAGCTATTTACAAGAGATGTAAACCAGAGAAAAGGACTGACAGAGATAAGCCAGGCAAATTCTAACCAAAAGAAAGCTGGTGCAACTATATTAACATCAGCAAAAACAGACTTTATCCTCAATAATGCTTTTAATCTTAAAGAAATCCCCTTCATAATGATAAAAGGTTCAAATTACAGGAAGTTCTATCAATTCTAAATTTGTGTCCCTGACACAACAGGGTATCAAAATGTATAAAGCAAAAAACAACTACAATTATAGGGAAAATCCATAATCAGAGAAGGAGATTTTAATATGTCCCTCAATAACTGATAGAAAACTGACTTCGGCCCCCTCTACCCCCACCCTCCCAATCAGAGGGATATAGGAGATTTGAACAACCTCATAAACTTGACCCAAAAGACCTATAGATACACTGTATAGAACATCAGAATACATTTTTTTCCCTCCAGTATCTACAGACACACAAAAAAATATTGATCCTAGGGTGAAGATGAACATAGCCTGGAACAGAGCTGCAGCTGATCCAGAGCCAACATGGAAGATGAGTGAGAACCACTTTGCTCTTATTAGCCACTGAGATTTGGTGGGTTACTACAATATAATCCAATGAAAGCTAACATATTGAGTTTATTAATAATTTTTCTTTGAAATTAACTACCTCTGCCAATGAGAGTAACATTCAAATCACATTTAGGAATTAAAACAAAAAATCACAATGTTTACTGCTCTCTTTCAAATTTACCAGCTGAAAATATTCTCTGAATTAATTGGGGATTTATTTTGGTGTACTCCCACTTTCCTGTGCAGAGTCAAGGCAGTTTTAATGTTCTGAAAACTGAGACAATGCCAAGAAATCAATCAAAACCTAGCTAAAAAAAAAGATGTTTACAGAAAATTTTCACATAAAAATTATTATTCATAAAACCAGCACAAAGAACAATCTTTCCAACTATAAATCTCAGTAAGCAATACTATCATGCTGAGGCTATTAATTTTAGGTTAAGAAAATAAATCATCTAATTATTTAAAAATATAAATGTTGCATACACTCACTATTTCCAAAAAGTGAAAGGTCGTGGGTACTCTCTAGGTAAGGAGATTCTTGAGCTCCCTCAGTGGGGAAAAGTGTTTCAAAATGCCTAGTTGAAGTTAAGACCTCAAGCTCTCAGGAAGGACAAATCTAGATCCAAGCTCTGGCTCTGCCATATACTTGAATATACAACATTTTCTTAATCTCCTTGAGCCTTATTTTAATCACATGTGAAGTGAGGACAAATGTGACTAAATGTGGTAACGCATGCAAATAGCTTACCATAAGGATGGAGTATAAAACAACACTTGTGTGTCAGCTAATACTATTATCAAAGGTAATAAACTAATACATCACAAAGTTCTTAAAATGGGGGACAGAAGTGAAAGTAGTCTCTCATCCAGCATTTCTGTCAAAAACACTTGAGTATAACCTTTTGAATCCCTGACCTTGAATTTCTACTAAAAACTTACCAAGTCACAGAACTCAAACACCAGAAGATAGGGAATTGCTTCCACACATTGTCCAACACACTGAAGAATATTTGGATGCTGAAGAATACTGGTAAAAATAAAAGTCATAGTATTGTTCATCTGGGAGCATGCTAGTAAGACTGTTCAAACAGTAATCCAAATTTTAACATTCATAATGATTTAAATATGATAAACTGAAAAGAGCACATTAAGATTATACTTAACAGATATCTTCTGAGTTATATAATGATTAAATAATGCAAAGCCTATCATGCTAACATTCTCATAAATTAAAACAGAACTCCTAACACAAGAATCTTTAACTTTAGTAACTTAAATTTATAGATATCATTTTGAAGCAGCATTTAAAAGAACGCAGACTATATAGTTACAAATTCAATAAGCACTTCAATCCATACATTAAATAACTCAGTTACTCCTCAGGCTATCTAGTTTATATACTGTTTCCATAAACTTCCACAGTACAGTCATCCCTCAGTATCCACAGCGGATTGCTTCCAGGACCCCCACTGATACCAAAATCCACAAATGCTCAAGTCATTTACATAAAATGGCATAGTTTTTGCATATAACCCACGCACATCCTCCCATGTACTTTAAATCATCTCTAGATTAGTTATAATACCTAATGCTATGTAAACAGTTGTTATACTGTATGGTTTAGGGAATAATGACAAGAAAAAAATGTCTGTACATGTTCAGTACAGATGCAACCATTGTATGCCTTCTGATCCCTGGTTGATTGAATCCAAGGATGTGGAACCCTCAGATATGGAGGTTGACTGTATATGTAAACTCTTTTTGGAAAATATTTTGTCCAAAATGAAGTTGGAAAAAAAAAAAGAATATGCCAAAATAGTTTTTTAAAAAACTTTTTATTTTGAAGCAATTATGAATTAATGGTAAGTCGCAAAGATAGTACAAAGAGGTCCCATGTTCCCTTCACCCAGTCTCCCCCACTGGTTAGATGAGACACAATTACATTGCAATACCAAAACCAGGGACCGGACACTAGCATACTGTGTGTGTAAACTTCTATGTCCTGTTATCACATGTGTAGATGTGTGCAACCACCACCTCAACAGAAACAACTGCTCCATCACCATGGAGATCTTCCCCATGCTCTCCCTTTATAGTCACACTCACCTCCTTGCCCCCCTCTCCCACCATCCTTAAGCCCTGGCAACTACTAATCTGTTTTTTCATTTCTATAATGTTCTCATTTTGAGAATATTATGTAAATGGAATCATACAGTATGTGGCCTTTTGAGATTGATTTTTTTCACTCAACAAAATGCCTTTGAGATTATCCAAGTTGTTGCTTTTATCAAGAGTTCATTCCTTTTTATTGCTGAGAAGTATTCCATGTTACGGATGTACCAGTTTGTTTAGCCATTCACCTATTGAGGGACATCTGTTTTTCCAGTTTTGGGCTATTACAAATAAAGCTGCTAAGAACAATCTTGTAAGGGTTTTTGTGTGGAAATAAGTTTTCACTTCTCTGAGATAAATGCCCAGTGCAATAGCTGAGTTATAGGATGTGATGATTAACTTCGTGTCAACTTGGCTGGGCCATAGTGCCCAGATATTTGGTTAAACATTATTCTGGATGTTTCTGTGAGGGTGTTTTTGAATGAGATAATCATTTAATCAGTGGACTTTTAGCAAAGCAGATTGTGCTCCATAACGTGGGTAGGCCCCATCCAATCAGCTGAAGATCTTAATAGAACAAAGACTAACCCCCCCCCAGTGAAGAAGGAATTCTGCCAGCAGATGGCCTTGACTTGAAGTGTAACACTGCCTCTTCCCTAGGTCTCCAGCCTGCTGGCCTACCCTGCAGATTCTGAACTTGCCAGTTTCCATAACTGTCTGAACCAATTCCCTAAAATAAATTATCTATCTAATCTCTCTATCTACCTTACAGATTCTATTGGTTCCGCTCCTCTGGAGAACCCTAATACATATGGTGAGTGTATGTTCAGTTTTTTAACAACTGCCAAACTATTTGCCAAAGTAGCTGTAACATTTTACATTCCCACCAGCGACGTATGAGAGAGATCCAGTTTCTCCACATCCTCACCAGCATTTGGTATTGTCACTATTTTATTTTAGCTTTTCTAATACTTGTGAAGTGATATCTCATCAAGATCTTAATTAATTACTCTAGTGGTTAGTGATGCTGAATATCTTCTCACATGGTCATTTGCTATCCATATATCCTCTTTGGTGAAATGTCTCCTGGATTGTTTTTGTTTTTTTACTGTTGAGTTCTGAGAATTCTTTATACATTCTAGATATGAGTCCTGTGTCAGATATGTGGTTTGCTAATATTTTCTCCCAGTCCATAGCTTGTGTCTTTTCATCCTCTTGCCAGGGTCTTTCAGCAGAGTAAAAATTATTAACTTTGACGATACCAATTCATCCATTTTGAAAAATGGATCATGCTTTTGCTGTCAGGTCTACAAATTCTTCACTGAGCCCTAGGCCCCCAGATTTTCTCCTGTGTTTTATTCTAAAAGTTTTATAGATTTATATTTTACTTTTAAATCTATGATCCATAGAGTTAATTTGCGTATTAAGACAAGAGGTTTAGGTCAAGGATCTTTTTCCCCAACAAATATCCAACTGCTCCAGCACCATTTTTTGAAAAAGCCATTCTTCCTCTATTGAACTGCTTTTGCACCTTTGTCAAAAATCAGGTGGCCATACTTGTATGGGGCTATTTCTAGGTTCTCTATGCTGTTCCAGTGGTTTCTGTGTCTATCTCTCTGCCAATAACAGAGTCTTGATTACTATAGCTACATAAGAGGTCTTGAAATTGGGTAGAGGGATTCCTCCAACTTCTTATTTTTCATAACTGTTTTGGCGATTCTAGTTCCTTTGCCTTTACATATAACTTTAGAATAATCTTGTAAAAAGGTTTTAAAAACTTTGCTGGGATTCCGATATGAAGTACAGGAATTTGATAGGGAAGAACTGACATCTTTATGAGCTTTCCAATTCATGAATATCGTATGTCTCTTCATTTATTTCAGTCTTGATTTCTCTCATCAGTGTTTTGTAGTTTTCAGCATACAAGTCCTATACATGTACTTAACGTATTTCTTTTTTGCTTTTGAGCGAGTGTAAATGTTATTTTAAATTTTGGTTTCCACAAGTTCATTGCTAGTATATAGAAATAAAATTGACTTTTGTATGTTGATCACGTACCCTGCAACTTTGCTGAATTCATTTATTCATTCTAGGGGATTTTTTTGTAGATTCCTTGGGATTTTCTACATAAAGCATCATGTCATCCACAAATAGAGACACTTATTTCTTCCTTTCTGATCTATATGCCTTTTGTTTCCTTTTCTTGCCTTATTCAGCTAGCTAGAACTTTCAAGACTATGTTGAATAGCAGTGATGAGAGCAAACATCTGTGCTTTGTCTTGATCTTAGGGGTAAAAGTATTCAGTCTTTCACCATTAAGTATGATGCTAGATGTAGGTTTTTGTAGATATTCTTTATCAAGTGGAGGAAGTTCCCCTCTAATTCTAGTTTTCAAGGAGTTTTTATCATGAATTACTGTGGAGCTTTGTCAAATGTTTTTCTCCATCAACTCATATGATCACGTGATATTTCTTCTTTACCCAGTTAATACGGGGGATTACACTGATCGATTTTCAAATACTGAACCAGACTAGCATCCCTGGTATAATCTCCAATTGGTTATGATACATAACTTTTCATATATTGCTGAATTCTTTTTTTTTTTTTTTGTGAGGAAGATCAGCCCTGAGCTAACATCCATGCCAATCCTCCTCTTTTTGCTGAGGAAGACTGGCCCTGGGCTAACATCTGTGCCCATCTTCCTCCACTTTATACGGGACGCTGCCACAGCATGGCCTGACAAGCAGTGCATAGGTGTGCGCCCAGGATCCAAACCCGCGCAGCCAGCAGCGAAGCGCCCGCACTTAACTGCTACGCCACGGGCCGGCCCCATATACTGCTGAATTCTATTTGCTAATATTTTGGTAAGCATTTTTCCATCAACATTCATGACAGATACATAGGTCAACAGTTTCCTTTTTTGAACTTTGTCAGATTTTGGTAGCAGGGTAATACTGGCTTCATAAAATGAGTTGTGAAGTGTTCCCTCCTCTTCTATTTTCTCGACAATATTGTGTAGAATTGGTATTAATTCATGTTTAAACATTTTGTAGAATTCTCCAGTGAAACTGTCTAAGCCTGGGGATTCTTTTTGAGAGTTTTTTAGCAGCAAATTCCATTTCTTTAATACTTATAGGTTACTCAAATAATCTATTTCATATTGGGTGAGCTGTGATGTTTGTGCTTTTTGAGGAATTGGTTCATTTCACCTAAGTTGTCAAATATGTTGAGTTGTTTGTCCCTTACTATCCTTTTGATGTCTTCAGGGTCTACAGTGATATCCCTGTTTCACTCCTGATATTAGTAACCTGGATTTTCTTTCTTTTATTCTTTGTCGGTCTTGCTAGAGGATTATCAACTTTATTATCTTTCCAAAGAGCCAGCGTTATGTGTCATTGATTTTATCTATTGTTTTCCTGTTTTCAATTTTACTGATTTCTGCTATCTTTAAATATTTACTTCCTTCTGCGTGCTTTGAGCCCATTTTGCTCTTCTTGTTCTAGTTTCTTAAGCTATGAGCTTAGATTATTGATCTGAGACTTTTCCTCTTTTCTAACATAACCCCCCTATAGGTAAGATGTTGTTTCTCTCTCCCCGCTTTTAAGATTTTTTATTCAAGTCTTTAATTTTCACGAGTTTGACTATGATGTGTCTTGGCATGGATTTCCTTGGGTTTATCCTGTTTGAGATTTTCTCAACTTCTTGAATCTGTCTTTCCCAAATGTGGGAAAATTTTGGCTAATATTTCTTTGAATCCTTTTTCAGGCCCACCTTCTAATCTCCTTTCATTCTAGGATGACTGTGACACAAAGGTTAAGATCTTTTGTTACAGTCCCCCATGTCCCTGAGGCTCTATTCATTTTAAGTCTATTTTCCCTTTGTTGCTCAAATTGGGCAATATCTATTGTTCTATCTTCAACTTCACCGATTCTTTCCTCTGTCCTCTCCATTCTGCTGCTGAGCTCAACCACTTGGTTTTTTATTTGTTATTACATTTTTCAGTTCTAAAATTTCCATTTAGGTCTTCTTTATGTCTTCTATTTCTTTGCCGAGAATGTATTTTTTCATTTGTTTCAAGGGCGCTGTAATTTAATTGCTCATTGAAGCATTTTTATGATGGCTGCTTTAAAATCCTTGTCAGATAACTCTAACATCTCTGTCATCTTGGCGTTGGTAGCTGTTGTCCTTTCTTATTCAAGTTGAGTTCTCTAGGTTCTTGGAACAATGAGTGATTTTGATTGAAACCTGGACATTTGGGGTCTTACGTTATGAGACTCTGGATCTTATTTTAATTGTATATTTTGCAAGAGGAAACTCCAAAGAAGTTTTAAACACCTGATTTTCAACAGACCACAGACTGTTTAAAGAACATGTATTAAGGTTTACTTACTAGTAAGGTTCTCCATTTTTCAAAAAAGTATCTTGTTCCTTTGGGCTTGCACTTGCTTTTAACTCCTTCACTACTACTCTCGCTACACTAGTGCCTGTGTAAATCTCTCCAAGGAGGACCTAAAACCAAAGAACAGTTTTTCATTTCACTTCCATCAAAATGGTATAAAGAAGTATGTCTCACTTATCAGGAAATGGGATACAGGAAAATAAATTAAGCAAAAAACAGATAGCCTTCTATTATTTTAAATACTATCTCACAAAAAGCTTGGAAAACTAAAATATTCTCCTTCAGTTTTAAATCGTTCATCAGATATTTACAACATTCATATATTTATACGTATTTTTTCTATTTACTTAAAATGTATTACGCTTTCATGGAAATTACCAATGACATTACAGAAAAGTAATTTATAAGTTCAGTTCAAACATAACTCAAATGTTTCCCAAAAACACTTCAACTGAGTTTTGTTACTTTGTCTCCTTCACATATGAAATAGTAAATTGACCAATAGCCAACATATAAACAAACTATCATTGCTTTATAACTTTAAAAATCCATGGCATTCCAATTATTCCAGGCCTTTATCTTATACTAAAACTTCAGTCAAAACATAAGGAAAACATATTCCACTGAAATTAACAGAACACAAAATGAGAATGAAAATAAGAACAAGCTATCAGTGAAATATTAAACATAATATAGGACAATGCAAAAGCATTCAAAAATACAATATTTAAGATGAAAACGATAAAGTAAAAGTCTTTATTTAACTTGAGAATGATCAAAACCAAAAGGCTTCCTTTTAAGATAGTTTTTCATATTTTTATAAAATAGACTAATAATGTCCTGAAAATAGAGAGTAAGAACTTGAACAAAATTTAATGTGTTTATTAGGAATATAAAGGTAGAAAAATGAACAGAACAAGAAATTTTGATAATTAAGTACATCATATTCTTTGTTTTATATAACCAGCTTGTGCATTAGCCTAACACTCATAAGATATCAATTTCAAAAAAGGGAAAGAAGAATTAATAGACTAATACAATAATCTGGCTCGTTGTCTCTCTCTCTCCGCCACTACTGTTATCATTCCTGATGTTCAATATCTGCAGAGACAATTCATTCAACACCCGGACCTCTCAGTTCTTTGACCTCACTTCCAATAAGCTTTTCTATGACCCCATCTCAGGAAACATTTCCATGGGTTTAGACCTAGCTAATGATTATATTATGTCCAGACCCTTGAATTTTAACTTCTTCTCTACCAGTCCTTTGACTTCCAGCTCACTTACTTCAAGAGTCTAATCCAACAAGTGCACGACTTGCCCTCTAAATCTATTAATGGTACCTCTTTTCCACAATCCTGCCCCTAGCCCAGGGCTTCACTCCTCTCCCTGACAACTCAGACCCCATGATCCTTCACTATTATCATCCCCTTACCCCTCTTGCTGAGATATTTTAGCTTAGCCAAACCCCAGTGTTGCTTAAATTCAACTAGCTGCCTACAATAAAAAACACCAAAAGTAGACAAAAACACACAACCATGATAACTGGTCTCATTTTAAATTGGTGAGCGCCCTCAGCACTGCCCATCATCCCTTTGCCCTAGTTAATATACTTTCCCAAAGGACTCTTTCATACCTTCTCCTCCTATTCAAACTTCCAACACATTTTTTTGCTACTCTCTTTCAAACTGGCCTCTTATTCACTGAATAAAACAATCAGAATTGAATTTCCTCATTTTAACACCAAATCCACCTGTACCTGTATCCACTCCCTCTGCTTTAGCTCTCATTTCAAGGGAGAAACTGTCTCTGCTCCTAAGACCAAGTCCTACAAATGTGCTATGGATCCCTCCTACAATTACCCCCCTCCATCTCTTGCATTATCAGTTCCTACTCCTCATATAAACACGCTAAAATAGCTGCACATCCTATAAAAAAAAAACAAAGCAAATCAAAAAACCCTCCCTCGGACCTTGGATGGTCCCAAACAGCTTGTACTTCATTTCTCTGCTCCCTTTCAGAGTAAAACTCTTCAACAGAGTTGTCTAAACGTGCTGTCTCCACTTTCTCCCTTGAACCCACTCCACATGAGGATGTGACCCCTAAATAGCCTCTTTTGAGGATACTGTGGACCTCATGTTGCCAGATCCTAATCCTCCCAGTCTTCACCTTACTCAATTTGTCAGCAGCATTTACTATAATTCACCTTCTTGGAACTCCTCCTTCACTGACTTGCAGAAAACTCCTCTCTTCCACATCCCTTCCTACTCACTGGCTGATTCTTCTGTTTCCTTCACTGGGTCTCCCTGATTCCGCTGACCTCTCCACACTGCAGAGCCTCAGGGCTCAGTCCTTGTGCCTCTCCCTCTTCTCTAGGCTCACATTCTCGGTCATTTCATCTAGTCTCATACCTTTAAATACCATCTATAAACTGAGTTCTACCAAATTTATATCTCTGGCCTGAACCCTCTCTCTTGAACTCCAGATTTACTTTCTAACCGCCTCCTTGGTATCTTCATTTGGATGCATCCAAAAGTGAACTCCTGACTGACTCCCTTCTCCACGCCTGCTTCTCCTTAGTCTTTCCCATTTCAGTTGACAGTAACTCCATTCTTCCCATCACTCAGGCCATAAGCAGTCACCCTTGACTCCCCTCCTTCTCAGACTCCATCTCTGATCCATCCCTAGTCCTATATGCTCTTATTTGAAACTCCATCTCGGGTCACACCACTTCTCAGCACCCCAAGCTACCGTCCAGGTCCAAGCCTGCCTGCATCTCTCCCCGTAGGACTGCAGCAGCCTCCTAACCAACTTCCCTGCTTTCCCCTGGGCCCTCCACAACATAACTGCCCGAGTAAGCCTTTTAAAAGGTAAGCCAGATTACATCACTCATCTCAGACTCTGGAGTACTTTCTCACCTCACTCTGAGTAAAGTCAAAGTCTAAACGCATACAATATCTTACATCACCTGGCACCTCTACACCTCTCTGAGCCTGTCTCCTACTACTGACTGTTCACTGTCTGATCACTGCCCCCCACTAAAAATCTAAGCTTTGTCAGGCCAGGGATCTATTCTGCTTGCTGCTACACTCCCAGCACTCCATAGGCCAGGACTTTACCCCTCTTCCTCCACATCGGTCCCCCAGCACCAAGAACAACGTCTGATACATAACAGGTTTTGCTAAATGGCTTAGAAGATTTGGTAACTAATAAAGTTTGGATGACATCACAGACACAGGACTGACAGACACTCTGAACAGAAAGAGAAGAAACATAAGATGGTTGATTACAGAGCAAATACATCTTCCCATCTTGACTGCCCTGCTTATGATGCAATCACCACTCAGGAATCTTCTACAGAGAATGACTGCTATATCATGGACATAGTTGTTATACTAAGATCATTCCTCTGAACAATCTGTGGTAAAAAGATCCACAAAGCACCATTACTATAGGTCACTTGACAGGCTATGAGGAATAGAGAACAGTTCCTATTATAATAAGATTATCTATCTACAATTCTAAAGTGGTTTAAGTGCCATAAGAAGGGGGGAAAAAACTAAGGGGACAGGGGGAGAAGAAGAAAAAAACAAATAATTTAACTTGAGGAGGATAAAAAGCTTCTAAAATTCTGGTCTCTTTTCCCTTCTTACTGTTCTTATGCCAACCATCAGAAAAGCCTTTGACATATAAATAAAAGACTTTCTTGGAAAAACTTACACATCAGGAATGTTGAAGCTCACATTCCCATGTGGTTTCAGGGGGCAATGGGGAAACTCAATTGGTACTATAACGTCTAGAGAGAATGTAGAATGTCACGCAATACAATTCTTAATTAGCTTTAAATTCTAAACAGTAGAGCTGGGAGGGAAAAAATTGAAAGTGAACAACATTTTACCTTTCCAAACCAGCCATTTCCAATTTCCTGTATATAGTTTAGACTGTGGCGGGCAACTTGAGACTTCAAACCTTCTGTAGGAAAAAGAACATTAAAAACTAAATATAAGTATTTAACTGAAATAAAATAAATATTAAATATATAACCTACAAAGTACAAGCACTAACATAAATTTAATGCTTGTGCTAATAAAGGTAGAACTACATAAAACATCTCTTTCAAACTAATAATGCCAAACAATTTCAAGTTTTAAAACTGACAAGATTTTTCAATGAGTATCCTACCCTGATTCTTCAATACCTTAAACTATTTCTTCTGATCCAACTATTCTACTATAACCATTAATCACTAATCCATTGGCCTGTACTTGGTCTTTAGTTTTATGGAGTAAAGCCATCTGGGGACTGTCTCTCCCTAGAAACACTGAAAATCTTGTCAAAAACTGTCAGTACCCACCTTATCAGAACTACGGAAGATAGTCAAAGGTTTAGAGCAACCGAAGTGAACCAGGAGAAACGCCACTGAAACAGGGTAGAATTATTCTGTGGCTTTTAATTTACCCTGGCCCCACCCCCTCCCGCGGCACAGCAGCAGTCTTAAAGATGACCCATGTTCTAGTATGGGTACCAGTTCCAGAGGGAGTCTTATTTTTAAGAAACTGTGTTTCTTTTGACCTGACCGGGGTTTCCCTGAAGGACTACATAAGTGGCTTCCCTTTGTTTCACTAACTCAGAACTCTATCAGGACAGACTGGCTACATGTTCCTTGAAAACAGTGAAAGGCAAATGAACAAGGCACTACCACCTGGGGCAAAAAATAACAATTGAGGCAAAGAGTAGACATGCTGAAAGCTTTGAGGGAAGTGCTGGGAAGTGAGATTTTTGGGGGGAATAGGGGCTTTGAAAAGCTATTGCATATATGAGGGAACCTAGAGAGCCACATGCACTCTCAGGGAAGGACACATGCTCAGAAAAGACTCGAGAAGAAGATAAGCTTTCACCTTTGGCTGGTCTTTATGCTCAGCACAAGCAGGAAGTGAAGGCTAAGGCAGAGCAGTAAATGGGTGAGGAGTGCCCCAACACAAAGCCAATCATCTACAAGGACCCAGAGCACTTTTTGTTGCTTTCTTTCTCTTCTTTTTTGCACATCATATTATTCAAAATATCCAGTTTTCAACAAAAAATTACAAAACATGCAAAGAAATAAGAAAGTATGGTCCATTCACACATACAAAAGGAATTTAAAAGAAAGTGTCCCTGAGAAAACACAGACATTGGCCCTCCTAGACAAGACTTGAAATTAACTCTCTTAAACAGGCTGAAAGGGCTAAAGGAAATCATGGACATGATTTCCCAATAAATAGAGAAGATCAATAAAGAGATAAAAATTATTAAAAGAAGCCAAATAGGGGGCTGGCCTGGTGGCGCAAGTGGTTAAGCTCGTGCGCTCCACTGTGGCGGCCCGTGGTTCACCGGTTCAGATTCTGGGCGCGCACCAACACACCACTTGGCAAGCCATGCTGTGGCAGCGTCCCATATAAAGTGGAGGAAGATGGGCATGGATGTAAGCCCAGGGCCGGTCTTCCTCAGCAAAAAAAAAGAAGAAGAAGAGGAGAAAAAAAGATGTTAGCACAGGGCTGATCTTCCTCAGAAAAAAAAAAAAAAAAAAAGAAGCCAAACAGAATCTTGTAGCTGAAAAGTACAATACCAAAATAAAAAATTCACAGCAAGGGTTTAACAACAGATTTGAGCATAGAATAAGCAATGAACTTCAGGTCAGGTCAAATGAAATTATCCAGTCTGAGGAGCAGAAAGAAAAAAGAATGAAAAAATTAATGAACAAAGTCTAAGGGATTTGTGGGATACCAACAAGTAGACCAACACACACATAATGAAAGTCCCAGAAGAGAAGAGAGAAAAGGGAACAGGAAGAATATTTGAAGATATAATGGCAAAAAAGGTCCCAAATCTGATAAAAGACATGGATCTACACATCCAAGAAGTTCAACAAAGTCAAAGTAAGATATTCTCAAAGAGATCCACACCAACATACATTATAATCAAACTATCAAAGATAGAGAATCTTGAAAGCAGCAAGAGAGAGCAACTCATCACATACACCAATTTCTCATCAGAAACCACGGAGGCCAGAAGGCAGTGGGATGACAGACAAGGTGCTAAAAGAAAAGGACCGTAAACCAAGAATTCTACACCTGGCAAAACTATTGCAAAAATGAAGGAGACATTAAGACATTCCCACATAAACAAAAGTTTAGGGAGTTTGCTTCCAATACACCTGCCCCACAAATGTTAAACAGACTCCTTCAGGCTAAAATAAGAGGACACTAAACAGTAACCGGAAGCCATATGAAAAAATAAAGATCTCTGGTAAAGGGAACTACACAGGTAAATATAAAAGCCAGTATTATTCTATTTTTGGTGTGTAGTTCCTCTTTTTATTTCCTACATGATTTAAAAAATAAATACACAAAAAATTATAAACCTATGTTAATGGGCACACAACATATAAAGCTGTAATTTGTGACAACATAAAGCAAAGGAACTGAGTTGTATACAGGAGAAGAGTTTCTGGATGCTATTGAAGCTAAGTCAGTATCAATCCAAACTCAATTGTTATAAATTTAAGATAACTGTAATCCCCACTGTAATCACTAAGAAAACACCTAAAAAATATACACAAAAGGGAATGAGAAGGGAATCAAAATGGTACATACACACACACACACACACACACACACACACACACAATCCCAATGGCCTGTTTTGCAGAAATGGAAAAACTGATCCTAAAATTCATATGGAATTGCAAGGGCCTCTGAATAGCCAAAACAACCTTGAAAAAGAAAAACAAAGTTGGAAGACTCATACTTCTCAATTTCAAAACTTATCACAAAGTTACAACAATCAAAACAGTGTGGTACTGGCATAAGGATAAACATATAGATCAATGGAATATACTTGAGAGTCCAGAAATCAACCCAAAGAAATATGGTCAATTGATTTTTAACAAGGGTGCCAAGACAATTTAATGGGGGAAAAGAACAGTCTCTTCAAACACTGTTGCTGGGACAACTAGCCATCCACCTGTAAAAGAATGAACCTGGACCCTTACCTCATACCATATACAAAAATTAATGGGTCAAAGACCTCAATTTTCTTTCTTTCTTTCTTTCTTTTTTGCTGAGGAAGACTGGCCCTGGACTAACATCTGTGCCCATCTTCCTCTACTTTATATGGGACGCTGCCACAGCATGGCTTGACAAGTGGCGTGTCAGTCCACACTTGAGATCCGAACCTGCGAACCCCAGGCCACCAAAGTGGTGCGCGCAAACTTAACCACTATGCCACTGGGCCAGCCCTCAAAGACCTAAATTTAAAAGCTAAAACTGTAAGAGTCATAGAAGATGATAGAGGAGCAAACCCTCATGACCTTGGATTTGACAATGGTTTCTTAAATATGACACTACCAGCACAGGCAACAAAAGAAAAAAACAGATAAACTGGACTTCATCAAAATTAAAAACTTTTGTGTATCAAAGGACATTATCAAAAGAGTGAAAAGACAACCTACAGAATGGGAGAAAATATTTGCAAATCATATATTATTATGAAGTTGTTATAATTAAGACAGTGTGGTAGTGGGACAAGGAATTGATAACTAATGAAACAGAATAGAAAGCCTAGAACAGACCCACACACGTATGGAACTAAAACGCAGAGAGGGAAGGAAGGAAGGATCAATCAATGAATGAAGCTGAAAAAAATGTAGTAATCTACAAGGAAAACTCATGGATTCCCTCCTAACACCATACTCAAAATCAACTCAGGATGGGTTATGGATTTAAATTAATTTAAATGTCAAAGCAAGACCTTAAAACCTTGGGAAAAAAGTAATTAAATATCATTTTGATCACAGAATAGGAAAGGATTTCTCTCTTTTTTTTTTTTGGTGAGGAAGACTAGCCCCGAGCTAACATCTGTTGCCAATCCTCCTCTTTTTGCTGAGGAAGACTGGCACTGAGCTAACATCTGTGCCCATCTTCCTCTATTTTATATGTGGGATGCCTGCCACAGCATGGCTTGATAAGCAGTGCATCGGTCCATGCCCAGGATCCGAACCTGCAAACCCTGGCCCGCACAAGCAGAGCGTGCAAACTTAACCACTATGCCACCAGCCCGGCCCCTCTTTCTTTTTTTTTTACTGAGGTAACATTGGTTTATAACATGATATAAATTTCAGGTGTATATCATTATATTTTGTGGTAAGGATTTCTTAAGACACAAAAAGCTCTAACTCTAAAAAAAGACAGTTAAATTTGGCTATATTAAAATTAGGAACTCTGTTCATCAAAAAATTTTGTTTTGATTGTTTGTATTTGATTACTATTTTTAGTATATCATTTTGATTTCCTCTTCATTTTCTTTTCTGTATATTTACCAGCTATTTTCTTAGTGGTTACCTTGGAGATTACAGTTATCATCCCAAATTTATAACAATCTAGTTTGAATCGATACCAATTTAGCTTCAAGAGCAACAGAATATACCATTTGACACTCAACTGTCAGGATTATAAATTGGCACAACTCCTGTGGAGGGTAAGTTGGCAATATCCATCAAAATAATAAACGCATGTACTCTGTGACCCACTTTCAAAAATTTATTCTACAAGTATAATAGCACAACAATGTGCAAACCAACACAGGTACAAGCTTTGATTAGAAACAACTCAAATATCCACCAATAGGAGACTGGGAAATACATTGTGCTAAGTCCATACAATTTAAATAGTATGAATCTGTAACCAAGAATAAATAAGCTCTTTTTATTCATATGGAAAGGTCTCTAAAGCATACTGGTAAGTGAAAAAAGCAAGATGCAGAATAATATATTTATACCATGCCACTTTTGAGTTAAAAAAAGGGAGAAGGGAATATCTGCATCAAGAAACTCTGGAGGGATATATAAGAAACCAAGAAGAGTAGTTACCTAGGGAAGGTGGGGGTGGGAGCTGAAGTCAGATTCAAAGATTAGAGGGAGACTTCTTACTATATACACCTTTCTATGTTTTGATTTTTGAACCATGTAACTATATTATCTATTCAAAAAATAAAATACATTTTAAAAAGAGAAAAAATGAAACTGGTAGAGCTTCTCCTAGACTTGCTTTTCAATGTGGCGTACCGTTTTCACTCAATACGTCACAAATATCTTTCATATCAGATATCGTTCACCTTCATCCTTTTATAGGACCACATAATACTCCACTGTGTGGACTTAACCATAATTTAACAAGTTACATACTGACATTTAACCTGTTTCCATTTTACACTGCCAAACAATGCTGCAATAAATTCCTATGTAGGTATATATCTGTACATTTACCCAATTACTTCCTAAAGATAAATTACTAAAATTACTGGAATTGCTGGATGTGGTAAACACAAGTCACATTTTGATACATACTGTCAGACTGCCCTCCAGAAAGAACATCTTTATCAATTTATAGTTCCACTGACACTGAGTGTATGAGAGTTCCTGTTACCCACACACACTCCCTCACCAGTCACTACACACTGCCATTTCTTTCCATCTTTATTTATGTTATCATTTTAAGTCTGCATTTCTTTAATTAATAATGAGGTTCCTATTTTTATTAGCCATTTGAATTTCTTTTCATGAATTTCTCCTTTCATATCTTTGGCTTTTTTTTTTCTATTGGAGTGTTACTCTTTTTCTTACACATTTGTTTGAAATTTTTATATACAACGGTGTTTTTTTTAACATTTTTTGTAGTTGACAAATATTTTTGCTACTTTGTCAAATTTGTTTATGGTGTCTTTTTCCATACAGAATATTTCACTTTACAAATCAAATTTGGCAATATTTTCCTTTATGGTTTCTATGTTTGGTGTCAAGCTTGGAAAGGCCTCTTATATCCCAAGACGATAAAAATATTCTGTGACTATTCTATGCAGAGAAATTTAAAGTGATTTCTTCCTATTAAGAGGGAATTTAGACTAGGGGGCTTCATAAAAACAGAAAAAGAGGTGTATAAACACAATTAGGATGGCTGCCCAGGTCACCATCATTTCTGTCGTGCCCACACCTACTATGCTCGGGTACCATCCCCACTTTATCTTGAAGAGAAGCTGTCAGGCTCTTAGCTGTCCCTGCCCTCGTACCCATGGTGAGGAGTCCACATCATCCGACTCAGGTGAAGCCAACCAGAATGCCTCTCCAAGGGTTTTCTTTCTGGCCAGAGGAGAGAGAAGCTCTTTTCTGTCTGGTTGTAACGCTACAAGGATATGAACCTAGAGTTCGCAGCGGCCATGCTCCCTACTCAGGAAAGAAGCCCATCTGCAAGATTGAGCCAGCATGCAAAGCGAAGAGAAAATGCAGAATGAACATGTAGTGCTGACGGTGTTCAAGTCCCTGGCTCTAGCTGTATCTATGGTCAGCTTAACCCCTACTTCCATGTATCAGAAAATTCCCTGTTCTCCTTAAACTGATCTGAGTTAGGATTCTACTACTTGAAATAAATTCATGAGTGTTGGACTCCAGGCCTTCAAAAGCCCTGGAGATACCTCTCAGGACTTCCCTAAAGTATAAACTCAAGTATATTATCAAGTAAGCAAATATAAGATAAAGTATTTCTAGTTAGAGATGAGTATACTTGAGTTATTCCAGGGATATGTTAGACTCCTTTTAAACTTCACTATTTTGGTTGAAGTAAGGGTATTATTATTACTTACAGAAATTAAAGCTAAATACTACATGTTATTTTTTTCAATACTGCAAAATCCACAAATGTAATATATACCTAACTTTACAAATATCTTATATGAAATGCACCAGCTGCGTCATGTTTTATCTTACTTTTTCTTTCAGTCATGCATGCCCACAGCAGTATATCAACTGCTTGGTTTATACTCCCCTAAACGTACACCACTGTGGGCGCAGTACCACAAAAGGCAGGACTGGCACCCAGAAATACTGAAACAGTCTTCTCTTGGCAGTCTTAGAGCTCCCTAATTCTTCAACTGCCAGTCATATTCTATTCCATAACAAAAAATCAATTGATATTTAATCAAACCTCTATCTTAGGATGAAAAATCAATCCAATTAATATATCCAAATACACCCTTCCTCCCCAAACACAGGACGTCCCACTAGAAGATGGCAGGATCCTACTCAGCAAGACAAGCAGTGTCAAGAACTAGGAAAGAGGCTTGTCTACCAAAATACAGGCCAGGAGCTCTGTCTGCGAGTTTCATTTCAATGAATCGAGGAGACTAGTTTATTCTTATACCAGATCCAAGGTCCAAAAGAAAAGGACTCACCTTTTGCAGGAATGCAGTGGGCCTGAGCACTAGAATTCAGCTTCACCAGGAAGCAGAAGGAACAGAAATAAGCAAGCAGAGGAGACAGGCAGTCCAATTATTTTATAATTAGCAGCAAGGTTCCCATTCTCACTTCTCAGAAATAATTCATGAAAACATGACATTAGGACATAAGGTCTTACCTACAGAAGGCTGGAATTGTGATGGAGCTGGTAGTGAAATATTTGGTACTGAAAGTGTGAAAACTTCTGCTGGGGATTGAACAGAGGGAGTATCTTCTGCTGGTGGTGTGAAATCTATCTCATCATCAAAATTATCTTCAAATTCCTAACAGAGAAGAGCAATGTTATATCTAATATAAATCAGCTTGAGAGCAAATATTAAAAACATCTGCTAACAGTTAAGATATGAACATTCATTCACTCATTTGGAATATGCTGCCATAATTTTTTTTCCAATTTGTACTTACTTCAAGTAAAAAGCATATGTTCTCCAACTCCAAATAGCAGAATAAATAAGATTTGAAAATAAATTATACATATTTTATGTAACTTTTTAAACCAATAGCCGGAAGTTAAATGCAAAATTTTCTAAAATGACCAAGGAACTTAAAATGGACATACTCTTCTAGGTTCAAAATTTGACTTTTAAGTTACTATAGTTTAAGCTTTTCTTTTTTATTATTATTCACTTTCACAAATCTCTTTGCATATTGAATCAAAACAAATTTATTTTTAAATTGTATATACATTTCAATAAGGACAGTTAAAAGACTCAGAAAAGATTTTTTTTTTTTTTTGTGAGGAAGATCAGCCCTGAGCTAACATCTATTGCCAATCCTCCTCCTTTTTTTTCCCCAAAGCCCCAGTAGATAGTTGTATGTCATAGTTGCACATCCTTCTAGTTGCTGTATGTGGGACATGGCCTCAGCATGGCCGGAGAAGCAGTGCGTCGGGGCGCGCCCAAGATCCGAACCCGGGCCGCCAGTAGCAGAGCGAGCGCACTTAACCGCTAAGCCACGTGGCCCGCCCAGAAAAGATATTTTTAATTGAGTCTTATTTCTCTGGAAAGAGTAACAATGGAAAAATTACTAAACTGGGTAGAAAAATCAAGATCTGAACCACGGAGGTTAGTATAAAACTATGTAGCACGTTAAGTGCAATTAACATTCTAAGGACATCTGGTTTTCTAAAGATGGCAACTTTAAAATTGAGGCTGCACCAATAAAGCTGTGGAAACCTTTTAAGTGACTTCGTTCAGCAGAAAGCTAACCTGACTCTTCCTATCATCATTCCAGTGGCCTGGGTCTACCTCCTGGTCCATGTTAATTTAACATAGATACAGATGGGGCCAGCCCCGTGGCTTAGTGGTTAAGTGTGCACGCTCCGCTACTGGTGGCCCGGGTTCGGATCGCGGGCGCGCACCAACGCACCGCTTGTCCGGCCATGCTGAGGCGGCATCCCTCATACAGCAACTAGAAGGATGTGCAACAGTGACATACAACTATCTACTGGGGCTTTGGGGAGAAAAGGGGGGAAAAAAAAAAGATGCATTAACATAGATACAGATGATTAGCAGGGTCATTCATTCGCTCGTTAATTAACGAGTGTTATCCCACCAGGCACCATGATAGAAGCTGATAATACAACAGTGAACAAGACTGTTTTTCATTCCTCTATAGAACATCCTTCCTTTCATTTTCGTTTTCTACCACTTCCCCTGTAGCCCCCCATATAAGGAAGACACTAAAAGTTGTAAGGGTAGATTTTTCGGATACATTTATGTTCTCACATGCATGTGAAAGGACATTACTCTCACATATGTCATATATGTTGTCAAATGCATTAGGACGTTATTGCTATTTGCAACAGGGGAGTGGGGAGCAGGAAGAATGAGGCAGCTGAACTTCAACCTGTAAGGGCACCTCTAAACAGAAGAGTTCTGTTCAATTTTCTCTTTGGACATTCCTAAAGGTTCTCTCCTTTAAGAATGCTTGATCCAGGGGCCAGCCCCGTGGCTGAGCAGCTAAGTGGGCACGCTCCGCTACTGGCGGCCCGAGGTTCGGATCCCGGGCGCGCACCGACGCACCACTTGTCCGGCCATGCTGAGGCAGTCTCCCACATACAGCAACTAGAAGGATGTGCAACTATGACATACAACTATCTACTGGGACTTTGGGGAGAAATAGGGGAAAAAAAAAAAAAAAGGAGGAGGCTTGGCAATAAATGTTAGCTCAGGGCCAGTCTTCCTCAGCAAAAAGAGGAGGATTGGCATGGATGTTAGCTTAGGGGTGATCTTCCTCACAAAAAAAAAAGAAAAAAAAGCTAAAAAGACTTTATCCATCACTTCTAACTTAAAAATAGTGCCACTCACAAGTTTGGCAGCAGCATGATATTAGGCAGCAGATGAGTCTCAAGATTCAGAGGGGTAATACAGCACAATTTTTAAAAAATGAGGCTGTGAGAGAAGACTGAGTCACTTCTAAGTTATGCCAGTGGCTATCTGGATGCACCTGGGCAAGTCACTTATTTTCCAGACTCTAGCTTCCTGGTCTGGAAGATGGGACCACTCATCTCTAAAACTGCACAGTTATAAATCTAGAGGAAACCCACAAATTACAAATGGTGATATTCCTCTTCGATTACACAGTTTGCATACTGAAAACTGTGCACGGGATCCTCTGTACAGTGTGGTTCCTGGGGCAGTTTGATAAAACTACAGACTCCTTGAATCTGCATCAAAATAAACTCCCTGGGTCAATACTGAGATTCAGGCAGATTAGAACAAGCCAAGGCAGGAATGAGGTATCATAACACGCAGGAGAGAGACAAGATTTCAGTTTCAGCAACACTGATCAGACTTTATCTCTGTCCCCAAATGGCCAGGTGTCTGTGCAAAGTCCCTCAGCAAGACTGACAGTCAAGGGACACGGATTCCCTGCCTGCCACTGTGTCCTCATGTGGTGCTGTCATTCATTTCCCACAGAAGTGTGTGTAGTGGTTCTAGGGCCTAGGAGCTGATGTCATGAATAAAGCCCTTCACGTTTGGGGTAAAATCTTCTAAAGAAGATGACCTGTGCTAGTGAGTCTTTTCTTCCAGTCTCCCTCTGTTCTCAACCTTCCAGGTTTATCATGCTCGTGTTGGGCCAAAAGAACAGCACATGTCCTTATCTCCTCAGAGCTGCCACTAGACTCAAGGTCAAGAGAACACATGAAACAACCAGGTGGGAGGCTCTAGAGATACGGTTCATGTGCCCACTAAAAAGATTTTAGCTAGAAGATAGCTTTCTCTTTTTCCCAATTTGAACCAGTGGCCCTCAGGACAGCTAGCAGGGGCCCTACATTCAGGACTATCTCTCCGCATGCATGCATTCCTTTTTTTTCCCTTTCATATGTATTCCTTTTCAACAAGTATTCATTGAGCCCTAATAAATGCCAATAGGCATGGAGTAAGTTCTAGAGCAGGACATCCCAGCTGGTTTCTGGCAGATTCTACCCATCTGCAGCTACAATGCCAGCCTTTCTATGTTACTAGCCCCTGCCCCCCTGACCCCCCATTTAGGCAGCATTCTTTTTTCTCCCCCTTAGGGAACTCAAGGGTTCAGAGGTAAACTGAAAGATGTTCTTCCTCATATACAAAACACACTGGGGGATCCCTTTGTCTCAATAATCTTTTTTTTCAGTGTGTGTGCACAAGATCAGCCCGGAGCTAACATCCATGCCAATCCTCCTCTTTTTGCTGAGGAAGACTGGCCCTGAGCTAACACCTGTGCTGATCTTCCTCCACTTTATGTGGGACGCCGCCACAGCATGGCCTGACAAGAGGTGCGTCAGTGCGCACCCGGGATCCAAACCTGCGCCACCAGCAGCGGAGCCCATGCACTTAACCACTACGCCACGGGGTCAGCCCCTGCCTCAATAATCTTAACAACCATAAATTCATTAGTGCACAAAAGTTTGGAAAAAAATCAAAACCAGCCTGCCCTTCCATCTAGGCCTTATTGCAGGTGAATTCCATCATCATGCTTTATTCCTCACTTAGCAAAATAAATTAAAACAGATAAGTGGTTATTGTCAATGATGCTCTAAGGTAGGGTCAGCAAACTACAGTTGGTGGACCAATCTGAACCACCTATTTTTGTAAATAAAGTTTTACTGGAACACGGCCACTTGTTTACATATTGTCTATGGCTGACGTAGTAACACAATGGCAGAGTTGAGAGTTGAGTAGCTGTGACAGAGACTGTATGGTCCACAGTGTTTACTATTTACAATGGCATAAATATTTACCATCTGGCCCTTACAGAAAAAGTTTGCCAAAAAAGTCCCCTGCTCCCAAGGGACTGTGATATACAGCCATTCTATTGATAAATGTATCAGAAGATGATTTTAAATGTTCCTACTGTCTGTGCTCACCTTAAAGTCTATTTCTGGGTCCTTACAGCAGGATACACAGTTGGCAATTAACACTATTAATGTCATTAAACTGCACACAGATAGGATCACAAAGGATGAGGAAACTTCTGCAGCAGGTGCCTCCCCTGGAAAGAGATATAAACACTATTAAAAACACAGACATTTCAAAATCATCTTTATAGAAGTGAACCAATTTATTTTCCACTAGATATAAATGGGACCAAGAGATAATAAAATAATGCTTAAGTGCTCAAAATAAAGCTGATGACTAACCCAGGATAAGTAGTTGGGTTTTTTTAAACTTTTTATTTTGAAACAATCTTAGATTTACAGAAGAGTTCCAGAAACAACACAGAGAGTCCTCATATACCCTTCACGCAGCTTCTACTAACATAACATTTTATGTTACCATGGTAAATTTATCAAAACTAAGATAACAACATTGGCACAATGCTACAGAATTTCAGACTTTATTCAGATTTTACCAGTTTTTCCACTAATGTCCTTTTTCTTTTCCAGGAGTCAATCCAGGCTAACAACATTGCATTTAATCATCATGCCCTCTTAGTCTCCTCCCATCTCTGACGTTTCTCAGTCTTTCCTAGTGTTTCATAACTGACACTTTTGAAGAGTAGGGGTCAGTTATTCTGTAGAATTTCCCTCAATTTGAGTTGCCTGATGTTTTCTCATGATTGGACTGAGGCTATAGACATTTGGGAAGAATCTAGAATGCCACAGTAGTGACCTGCCCTTCCTGTTGCATCATACCAGGGGCACATGAGGTTGGCACCCCTCGTTCTTGATGATGTGAACCTTGGTCACGTGGTCATGGGGCTTTGGCCAGGTTTCACCACCACAAAGTTACCATTTTCCCTTTACATACTCTACTCTTTAAAAGCGAGTCACAAAGTCCACTGCACACTCACAGGAAAGGAAAGTAAGCTGTACTCCCTGGAGGGAGGAATATTATAGAATTTCTAGACATATGTAAAAAGTACTACAGTAATTAATAATTGGGGGAGACACTTTGAGGCTATGCAAATATCCTGTGTCTCCTTAGAGTTTTGCACACCAATTTTCGCATCTGTCAGTGCGTCTTGCCCGTAGCATTTAATACCGTGATGTTCTAACGGTGATTTTCTATTCCCCTCATTCCTTCTACATCTATTATTTGGAATTCTTCTGTAAAGAAGATTTCTCCCTTCTCCCTCACTTATTTATTCAGTCACTTATATAGTTATAGACTCACAGATATTTATTTTCTATTCTTTGGGTTATAATCCAATATTACCATGATGTTGTGGCTCAAACTGTTCCAGTTTTGGCCCCTGGGAGCTCTTTCAAGTTGACTCCTGGGGCCTTTGGACACGCTCCCTCCTTTCCGTTTTTCCTCTAATACTTCCTCACTTTCTGGCACTACAGGAAGCTCCAGGCTCCTCTTGTATTTTCTCTTCTCCAGCTTTAGAATCAGCCACTTCTCCAAGGAGCCTTGGTCATGATAAGGAGTGTTTCTACTAGAGCCTTGGGCCCCCCCCCCCACACACACAACAGCTAAGAACGGTTTTTACATCTTTAAAGGGCTTTTTTTGTGTGTGTGTGAGGAAGATCAGCCCTGAGCTAACATCCATGCCAATCCTCCTCTTTTTTTTTTTTGCTGAGGAAGACCGGCCCTGAGCTAACATCTATTGCCAATCCTCCTCCTTTTTTTTCCCCCCCTTTTTCTCCCCAAAGCCCCTCCCCATAGTTGTATGTCACAGCTGCACATCCTTCTAGTTGCTGTATGTGGGACACCGCCTCAGCATGGCCGGATGAGCGGTGCGTCGGTGCACGCCCAGGATCCAAACCGGGCTGCCAGTAGCAGAGCACACGCACTTTTAGGCCGGCCCCTAAAGGGTTTTTAAATAAAAACAAAAACAAAAAGAATTTGCAACACATACTGCATGTGAGCCACAAAGACTAAAATCTTTCACTATCTGGCCCTTTACAGAAAAACTTTGTAAGCCGTCTACAGCATAAAGATTTTTACATCTTACTTTTGGCAAAGACTTAGTTTCTAGAAAACATCTTATTCAACCAGCGCTATTTTGAACCTTTTCTTTGTTAGGGCAAACTATGAAGTCTTACCTACAGATGTTTTACTAAGAATACACTTTTCTTTTTATCCTCCCAGCTTCATGGCGATATAATTGACATATATAACACAATGTAAGTTTAAGGTGTACAACGTGATGATCCGATATATGTATATATTGCAAAATGACTACCACAATTAGGTTAGAAATAAACTTTTCCTAAAAATCCTCATCTATGACTAATTATGTGTTCAAATGCACCAAGCAGAAGACATGGAGACAAATTAACGAACGATGTCACCGTTTTTCTTAAGTGAAACTATAGTACTTACAGAAAATAAAACCCCAAACTCCTATGTGAGCACAACACATTCTTGAGTATGAAACAGCTTCAGTGAAGCGCACAGAAGTCTAAAATCAACTGAAAACAGGACTAAGTTCCTTTTTAATAACAAAAGGTCTATTTGTGAAAAAGCAATGCTGAAACACGCTTTGGTACAAGTGGGGCTGGACTCTGGCTGAAGCCTTCTCCTTAAGGCTGTGTTTCTTAAAAATAATATAGTTAACAAAGGGTTGTCAAGAATCTGCAAGTTCTAAACCAACAAAATCTAAAACAGAAAAATCCATACATTGAACACGGAAAGTAATTGGTGATTCCTCTCAGAAGCCAATCCAGAGGGAAGTCAACTGTTACTGAGAGGAAGCATTCTGTAACCAGGGACACTTGTGTACACTTGGAAAACTCAACTAAGTAAGGAGCCGTGAGCCACTGAGTCCATTTTCTCTGAATGAAGACCCAGAATGATCACTTTCTTCATTCTTCCTTGCAGCTAGCTATTCTCTCATCCAGCCTGGCCTGTGCATTACCTACTGGTATTTATTCTTATAACTTTGTTTCACTCCCCTGACTCATATAATATATATATATTATATATCATATATAGCAAAGCACTTTCATATACACTGTATTTTATTGATTTTTTAAGATGCAGTTTGTCCACTGAGGTTTTTTTTTTTTTTTGTGAGAAAGATCAGCCCTGAGCTAACATTTGTCACCAATCCTCCTCTTTTTGCTGAGGAAGACTGGCCCTGGGCTAACTTCTGTGCCCATCTTCCTCCACTTTTTTATATGGGATGCCGCCACAGCATGGCTTGACAAGCGGTGCGTCAATGTGCACCCAGGGTCCGAACCCCGGGCCGCCGAAGCGGAGCGTGTGCACTTAACCACTATGCCACCGGGCTCACCCCCCTCCACTGCATTTTAACATCCCTAAATTTCAAGTGCAACTTACACTCGAAAGAAAGTTGGTTTTAATTGGCAGCATTTCTTCCTAACAGCACAAAAATAAGAGTGTGTCATGATCATATCTGCAATTTGATAAAATACAGTATTATCTCATTCAATCATCACAACACCTCTGAGGGAATTCAACCAGCTCCAGGTCACAGATGAGGACACTGACATGCCCAAGAACAGAAAGTAGGAAAGCAGCAGGGCCAGACTCTGGGTTCAGGGGTGCTCAGCATAAATCCCTCGTGATTCCCTTGATACTACATTGTTCTGCCTCAGTGAGGTTAACTTTTAACACTTGAAAACAGCCTAACCTTAGTACTTTGAACAGAAGTCTATCATTGTTAATTAAGACAGTTTCTACTTCTGGGGCTCTCGTCCAAATTCCACAAAGTGGATATTAAATTATTTTTTCGTCTCTTTTCACTCATAATTTTTTATCATCACACACTATTTATTTAATGTAAAATTTGATCAGAACTGCCTGAAGGCCAGCTCAATAATCTGATTCATAACACTCTCTTCTGTGAGTCATTAGGTAGGCATGAAAAGTCATATCCGTGTTAAAAATAACTAGTTATGCCGAGTTTTGCCCTACCTTGATAATGTACTTATTTCTGTTAAAGACACTGCAGGGGCATGTGCTCTCCCACACTCAGATTTCCTCAATGTACACCTGGTCTACTCAACTTCAATGTCTACCAGCGCCATTGAAAGGACTTTATAAATTACTACCTAAGAAATTTACTAGGTAGACTCAAGTAAAAATTTTAACAGTTTTACCATTTTTAAAACTATCTTATTTACTGTATTTTTCTTTTGATCAGTCCAAAGCACTGTGCTTTAAAAAACTATACACCAATGAAGGAAAAACATCCATAAAATGAAGAAATCAAACCAACCCAGCATAGGCTGGAAGGTGAGATGGGTCTGCACAAACCACAGAGAGGAAGTAAATTCTAGATATGAGGAACTACAACTAAAATCCCCACACCCCAGTGGTCAAACTACAAATCGAGCTGGAAGATTTCTGATTGCAACTGTTAGGAAACTATGAAGAAAGACAGCTTTCCTTTAACATTCTCAATCTACAGCATTCAGAAATGCATAATTCAACCAATCATCTACTAAAGAAAAACACGCACAATGACGTGAGTGTCTCCACACCTTTAGGCAGCTTTACCGAGTGCAAACTGAGAACAAGGGTAATTAGAGGTCTGGGGCACTTAGTATGCCTCCCCAAGACACCGATTACAAAATTCTTGGCATCTCTAAAGCACATTCTGTGAGCTTTCATTTTACAGTTTTCTAACCATTTTAATAGATATCTAGCACTTGATTTAATAAGCAGAAAACTTGAGAAACTCTAAGAGGTAGGTACATATTATCTGTGTTACAGACAGGTAATTTGGAGAACGTAATTTCTCAGTAATGACCCAGAGTAAGTCAGGAGTACTGCCTGATTATTAATTCAGCCATTACAAATCCCCGCCTAGAACCTTGATTAGAACTTGAGGGCCGGCCCCGTGGCTTAGTGGTTAAGTGCGTGCACTCCACTGCTGGCGGCCCGGGTTCGGATCCCGGGCGCGCACCGATGCACTGCTTCTCCAGCCACGCTGAGGCCGCGTCCCACGTGCAGCGACTGGAGGGATGTGCAACTATGACATAC